CCCAGGGGCACTTAACCACTGAGCCACATCCCCAGCCCTTTTTTACTTTTTATTTAGAGGCAGGGTCTCATTGAGTTGCTTAGGGCCTCCCTGAGTTTCTGAGGCTGGCTTTGACCTCRAAACTCTCCTGCCTCAGCMTCCCCAGGCAATGGGATTACAGAAGTGTACCACTGCCTAAGATTCTTCACAGTATTTTTCTGAGAACTTCCCTCTCCCCCAGGCACATATACAAACACCTCTACTATCTTAATGCCTAAAGTTTTCCTAGATTGCAAAGCAAAGTTCCAGCTACCTCATATCCTTCAGTAATTTACGTTAAATTGTCTTAAGACAAAAAAAAAATTGTTCTTTTAATTATGTGTGGGAAATATTTTCTTTAAATTAATAGTGCTATACTTAAAATTGTTAATTCAAAGTAGTAATAGATGGTTTAGCTATCTTCAGTCACTCATGCTGTGAGTTATTTACCTAGCAAATGTTATCACAGTATAGAAATAATTGTAAAAATTTACCACTCTGAGTATATTTTTGTCTGAAATGTTTTGGGAACAATGCCCTTTCTCATTGAACATGAAGACTTTCAGATTAGTTTTAATTCTAAATAATGTTAGAATTTTAAATTTAATAATTATACCAAGATTAGTCAGTGTTTATTATCCCCAAAAAGTAGTACATGTTCTAGAAGAAAATTAAACATATRGTTTCAACGTAATCAATGTTGGAGAAAATTCATGCAAGCTAATAAAGTTTTTAYTAATGTTAAGCTATGTTTAGGAAATAGTCAAATGATTCTAAAATACATTGTAACTTCATGTACCCTAAATAAARTTTGTACCAATTGAATGTCATCAAATCATTCTAACAAAGCCAATTTTAATTAGACCTGAACTTTTTCCTCATATTTATTCTTTGCTATACTTTATATTAAAACTTGTACAAGTTCAGTACTGTTTGAAAATTTAATTGMCATAATTATCTTTTAATAACTAGAATGCTGTTGACCAGCTCAAAAATGATTAATACCTACATCAGAAAAAAGAAATGCAACCCCAGAATTTTGAGAATTGGCCTGACCTACAAGTCAGCCTTGTTATTTTTGGGAGCTGGCCAGGAGCTTACAGGTAAAGCTATGGTGTTCTCTTGTTGAACATAAGAAACTCACAGAATACCAGCATCAGACAAGGTCATATAATCATCATCATCATGTGAGACCAAAAAAAAAAAAAGTAACTTTATTTTTTTTTCTGTGTGAGAAGCTGTGTTTTTTTTTTTTATTGGTTGTTCAAAACATTACAAAGCTCTTTATAATTTTGTCTAAGCACAGACAAAAACAAGGCCACTGTGCCAACCCCAAAATACCAAACATCCCCTGACTAATATGAGTACCAGCTCCTTTTCAATTCCAGCTTTAGCTTACTCTAGTCCTCCCTCCCTCCCTTTAAATAAGATTTGTTAAGATATCCCTGCCTCCTGAAGAGCCCAAACAAGGGCAATCTCTGCCTTCTTGAGCCTTTCTTAGATTTAACAAAAGTCAAGTTCCTACAATGAGTCCTTTAACATCGTGATTCCAAGAGTTGTTGGTCTCTCTCATCACAATGAGCAATAAGCCCACTTGTTCAACTATAGGAATGTTTTAGATGTTCTTTGCAAGACAGCACTGATGCATGTATAGATCAACATTTGTGAATGGTGGACCGTTAAACTGTGAAGTTCTATTACAATGTCAATGTATTAATAAGATTTCTAGACTTGGTTTTGTTTTGTTTTCAGCATCATGATCTGAACCCACAAGTATTTAATATTTTACTTTTAAATGTATATTTAAATAATTGCCTTTTCAAATATAAAAACATGTGTACTTTGTACTCTGAATACACAATGAGATTTGTCATCTCACTGATTAAAGAGCTAGTGGCCCTAAAGAGAAGTTCATTCTTTTCAAAATTTCTTTCATCATTTTTGGGTGATTTTTGGTCTAGTTTATATTTTAAATTAACATTTAAATTAATGCCAAGTAATATCCCCAAACTTATTTTTAAAATAGTAATGGATCAATATTTTTTAATTATTATACTGCCAATCCTAAGAAGTAAATAACATTTAGAGTGTGGAATTTTAAGTCATTGCATGCATCAGTAGAGAGAAGTTTCTCCCATCCATTTAACTACCCTTCAATAGTGTTCCTCCTAAGTGTGTGCTGAAGATGTTAATATAATAGATCCTTTTATTACTAGAGTAGTGATTGGAATTAATATATTTATAATCAATCCCCAATTTCCTACCCTAAGCAAACTTAGAAGGTTAAATTTGTAGTTATTTAAATTGTAGAGCAGAATCAGCTAAATTGCCATCTTTTCATCCAGAGAAACTGCCCTTTTTGAATTCTATTTGGGAAGAGACCCAAGGCTTTCAAATAACCAGGTACCATATGGAAGATCTGCTGGTTTGTGATTGTGCCTTATGTAAACATTTTAATATTGGATCCCTAAAATCCAGAGGCTTCCCCAAAGGGGATTAGAACATAATCCCCTCTCTCTATTGCTGTAGTGGATTACCTCTGTATTCTCTCTGTGCCTGGTTTGCTCCCTGAAGGCTACAACAAAAAGACTCACTGCTCCTTAAACATGCTATGGAATTGGAAGTTGTAATTGGAGATTTCCAAAGGACGAGAGGAGAGGAAAAATGACACACTATTAAGGCTGAATTTTTCATGATGTGCCTTTCTTAAAGAAAGGCCAGTTTAATGTCCTTTTATAAACTCCCAGAGAAATCGCATCTCAATAGAACGAAATTGAAGTAGAATCCAAAGAAGGCACAGTCAGTCCCCTTTCAGAAACAGAGAAGAAAGTTGAGAAAATATGCTCCCTGTTGAAAGTTCACAGGATGTGTACTTTAAATTCTTACTATATTTCAGTAAATCAGTAAGTCTGGGTTGTGGTCGTTTCGTGATTTTTTTTTYCCAATATTCCCAGTATAACTGTTTGGATATGTTAAATTACTTTTTAAAAGAAAGAAGTAGTTCACCATTTTTAGTGGGTTTTTTTATGATTTTCGTCTCCAAATGTCAGAAGCTTCTATTAAAATGTAAGAGCCCTCTGTATTTATAGTGAAGACTTTTCAGAGGTTTTAACTCTGACCAAAGATGTATAAGAAGACACTATGTTTCAGATGTGAATCATTCCACCTTCTTTCTCCTTTCGCCCCATCAACAGTAAACCTTTAAACCGCTTGGATTTCTCCAAAGGAGAAATATGAACGCATCCCAAGGAGCATCGTGGTTGCTCAAGGGTTAAGGGAGCTGCTGGAACCGGCCAGAGCGTTGGGGGATTCTGAGGAGGGCGCGGGAGGCAGGAGGCGCCGCAGAGCGMGCGCACAGACCCTCCAATAAACACAAAGGAGGGCCTGGGGAATAGAAACCCAAATCCACTTGTAATCGTACAAGAGATTCGGGCATAATTACTTGAGCAACCTAGATTAAGATTGATGAGCCTTTAAAGTGGCGCTTCAGATCGACCGCCTCGCCCTTTGGAAAGAAAAACCTTGTGGAGCGGAGGTGGACCCTGACTCCGCTSGGCTGCGCGGTGGACCCGCCAGCCCAAGACTAGCCTGGGCGTCCCTAGGGCTCACCGCTGGGCAGGAAAAAAAAAGCTTTGCGATAGTCTAATCGAAGCAGTTGAGATCCGGGGGTCAAGCTGACACTGACACAGTTTGCTTCACAGCCACCGCCCCCAACCCCCACTAAAGCTCTGCACAAGTCGGCTGAGTCCTCTCTGTCCCTCCAGCAACAGAAAAGGGCCGGCTTTGTGCAGGACACTCGCAGATTCCGTGTGAGCAGCTCCCAGGGAACSCGAACTTCCCCACCATCACGGTGCCCAGCGCCCTGCAGGGCTGGGTCAGCTCTCTGTGGMGGTGGCGGCATGAGCGGGTCTCCATGCAGAGGGCCAGGGCCTAGCAGCAACACGGGATCTAGCTTTCTATTGCCTTTATCCTGGGGTTATTGACTCATTTGATTGTGTGCATTCGAAGAGGGGAATGACAGGGATTCGGATACTCCCTCCTATTAAAAAAAAGAAGAAGACAACGGAATGCGTTATTTCTGATTGTCACGTCATATGTTCACATCAGGTTCATGAAGAATAACTCCTCTTTGGGGGATTTTAAAGAGTGTAACCCTCCTCCCCTTRAACCAGTGCTCTTATAAGTGGAATTTAAATGGAAGGAATTCTAGTAAACATAGTAGGCACACTTTGTTAAAAATTGCTTTTTTACCCAAGCCTAGTCTCTCTAGTTTTAAAAGTTTGGAAATAGCACTTTATGACGCTTTTTCTGAGAATCATTTTGTTCAAGTGTCTCGCATTTTCATCACTTTGACGGGTTCACTGTTACAAAGTGACGCTAAGATTTTCGTTCATTTCCACGTTAGAACTTGAAAGCCCATTTGTACGCGTAAGTGTATGTGGCCCGCCTTAGAACGCCTATGTTAAAATAACCTTACTGCAAAATGCTAACCCCTTACTTAGTACAGTGGACCTCCTTCATCTCTTCTCACCTCTCCTTGGCGATTGAGGAGCGCCTATGTGGTTTGGAAAGGTTTAATGAGAAGGTTAGTCTTTGGGGGCAGTGCTCACTGCCTAAGGTCTCTTGGAAAGCCAGTGATGTTCAATGGCGAATCCGGCATTATAAGGTTGTGTTCTGCACTTTTAAATTGGTAATAGCAGCGCCTCACCAACCATGTAGTATTTCTATGCAGAGGTTGCAAACACATGTTATGGGTCATCTATTTGGTATCCTGATTTCTTAGGGTTTTATAGAATTATTTATGTCTAGTCTCCTTATAAGATAAAGTATAAGCAGACTTTAACATGGAAAGTCGTTCCCGCATAATATAGGCACCGTTTTTTCCAGTACCTCTTTAAAAATKAAAACCTGTGGTATCTTCTGGGAGGGAGCAGCAGAGGGCCAGAGGGGGCTCAGCCTCACTCCCTGCCCTTGTCTTGCAGGCCCAGTGGTTCTCAGCACCCCTGCCCAGCTCATTGCTCCTGTGGTTGTGGCCAAGGGGACTCTCTCCATCACCACGACAGAAATCTACTTTGAGGTAGATGAGGATGATCCTGCCTTCAAGAAGATCGACACGAAAGTGAGTTAAAGTGATTCCATGTCTATTATTGGTGGCTTTGTGGCAGGAASTGGTTTTCAATTTTGCTTGGTTTTAAATGACATTGGGGGAGGGGAACACATTCTTTAGTTAGTCTCATCGGAAAAAAAAGGAATGAAATAACACACTCTTATGGAATTGAAGAATATATTAATGAATTTAAATCCTGTATTACCATATCATGCACATTTTAACAATCTTTCTGTGTCTTTGTGTGCACTTGGGCAGATTTGGTAGTTAAGCCAATTGCTCCCAAGTCCCTGGGGTGCAACTTCTCAATCTCTCTGGGAAAACTAGGAAAGGTCTTACGAAATTTCTTATTAAGATCACTTTTAATTTCCAAAAGTATAGATTGCAGTGTGAATTGTTATTTATTGAAAGGTTATAAGGAAACCAGGATGGGAGACATTTAGATATAATTTCATCTCCATTATTACATCCATTTTTCATCTCCTGCATTAAGAATGGATTTTACATATGGATTTAAGAGGAAGAAAAGCTGATTCTCTAAAAGCTTTGATTTTAAATGTATATACATAGCACATGATAGCACTCAGATGTTTAGAGATTGTATTCTTCTTTGGATGTAATGCTAGAAAATACATATTTGGATAACTTGACATGCATAAATATTTATTTACTTCATTTTAGCATGGAAATTTTAAATGAGCACTAGAGCAGCTATACATCTCAGCATTATCCTCTGAGATCCATTTTATTGTTTTAAATTTCATGTTATTGTGTAATTTACAAACTTCTCCCTGCAGTCAAAAATTCAAGAGTAAGTGTCATATTCTAGCATTATTTTTCAAAGATCTTCCTTTAAAATGTTTCACAGGCAGATACTATAAAATAGTCAAATGCTCTCATAGTTTCAGAAYTTTATTTACATTTAACTTATATATTGAAATAAAGTATTATAAAACAGTATATGAAAAGCTGCAATTAAAGTTCTAAAGGCTACCACCACCTGAATTAACTAATGTAAGGCCAGTCCTGTTAGCACTTGTTGACTATTAAAACACCTTAAAATACTTCCTTCACTTCTAACTCCAGAAGCATTGAATTTTCAAAAAATGAGTTTGAATGCATTTGATTTTAAATAATCAAAAGCTTGTCTTTGTGTTTTATCATTCGTTTGCCCTGAGAAGTAAAAAACAATTTTGGTTTTCTTATCAATTTATTCTGCAAATAGAACTCTTATTTGCATAAAGCATTTTGATCAGAAATGACCTTTCTTTTATTGACTTGGTTTTCATATACAAATTTCGAAATTTTTATCATGACTTTAAGTTCATTTTCTCTGAATTTGTCTGATTTTTAACTCAGTATTCTCTGTCATCATGATAGATTTTCCGTATGCTACCAAAAAAAAAAAAATGCTATGAAAATACTAATTAGAAGACCAAGCTTTCAGATGTAGATTTAAATTGAGTCAGTTACAGAAAGGAATAGTCTTATAAATAAGTAAGAAACTGAGAGGAGATGGTTACTGTCTGTAGCTATACAAAAASAGCCTTTCTCCAATGTCTTAAGTTTTATTTTTAATTATTTCATTAGCACATTTCTCAAAATATTTAAATGTTCAAGTGCAGTCAGTGTTCAAAATGAAACATCACATCTTTTGATAGAAGAACAACTTAATGTGAGACACAACTGTTTTACTTCATTTATTAGCTTCTAATTAAATAAAAACCAGCAACAGAAATTAAAATCTAAATCACAAAATTATCCAGTGTATTTCAAGTGCATTTTTCAAATATATAATTCAGATATTCAAGCGTTATTATATAAGCTGAATTCAAATTTCTTTGAATATATTTAAATAACATTTCAAGTATACTTATGGAATGTTAGAAATAGAACAAGCAATATATTTGAAACAAAATGTAAACTTTTAAAGTTCAGACACTTTCAAGGACAGATAAAAGTACCAGGAAGAAATCTACCTTTAAATGGTATCTTTGTTAGTGGAAAATGTCTGGAATTATCCAAAATGGCAATTTAAGTTCTGTTCACCAAATCACAAAACACCAACATCCACACTTTCAAAGACAATGTGAGATCACAATATTTGTTACAAATCAAAATATACATTACACTTTCCTTCAGATGGCATATCCAAATCGTGTTTACTCACAGACAGATGCACCTAAATCACCAGGATTGCTATAATCCTTTGATATTTAGGCAGAGTGTTCGCCGTGGTCTTGCATTACAGTCAGGCTGTTTTCCGGGTGGTGTTGTGTACTTTTCAAGGGAGATATGAAATCTTATGTAAATAAGTCTTATAATACTTGGGGTTTGGGTTTTTCTCCACTTCTCATACTTCTTTTTCTCCCCTTGGAGGGGTGGGTGAGATGATGCCTAAGCATTGTATTACTCCTTTTTAAGGAAGAGAGTGTTTGCACTGGTTTGCACTGCCGAATGGAATATTAGATAGGAATTGAACAAGAAGTTTTCATTTAATTAGGACTTAGAGAGAAGAGTAATCACTTAGGCTCTTGATTAGATCATCCTCTAAAGTTTTTCCAAACTTTTCGGGTTGGTCAGGATCTCTCTTGCTAGTCGCCACGTTTGTTTGGCAGCGTTTTCCAGAGCCGAGTGAGGTTTGCCTTGAAACAGATCTAAGTTCGGTAGGAAGTAGTGGGGACACCGCCGGCACTGCAGGCAGGAGATGAGTTGCAGCAAAATCCCGTTTAGCCGATCACCGAGGCAAGACTCGTCCCAGTCTGATTCCCGGGGATGCTTTTCACACTCGTAGGAAACCAAAGTCTTCATGTGGTAATTGTTCAGGGGCTGACCCGGCAGTTCAAGGTGACGATCCCGCAAGGTTTTAAGGATGGAGAGGCATTTCTTTCTGCAGCCCCCCATCTGCAGTCTGTTCTCGGCTTCCGCGAACTGCAGCACCCAGGCGTCACTCTCTGCCGAGCTCTGTTTGCCGGCCAGGGAGTGGCACTCCTTGGACAAGAGATTGAACCCTTCCGCTTTGACCTCTGCCACCCGGTTGGGTCCTGGCCAGGGGATGTGGGGAAGTGGCCAGTGGGCAGCACTCCTTGGCCAGATCCCGGTGCATTTGAAAGCTGGGGTAATCTGCACCACGTACCTATCTCGGATTCTCAGTTTCACTTCGCTGGTGTCAGCCACCATCTTTACCACATCCCTGTAGCTACATTTGTCTACCGCCTGAGCCACCAGCGTCTGAAACCTGGACCGGATTTTGCGCGCCGAGAGGTAGCCGGAGGCGGTAATGAATTCCACCCAGAGGGACATGCTCCTCTTGCGCCCGTCGCTCAACTTCAGCACCGCGCAGCCGGGCAGCGAGCCGTCGTCCACGAAGTTGAACACCCCCATTTGGTTAAGATAAAGCACCACTTCAAATTCGGTAGGGGAGATGACCTCCAGGCCCTCGTAGCGATTGTCCATCTCGTTGAGAGAGCTGATGAACCGGGGCTCCTGCACTTCCACTTCCTTCAATACGTCGGAAACTACTTTACAGACTTCCCGGATAGTTTTGGCAATGGCAGCTTTCCTGGCTTGGCATTTTTCATTGTAGTACTTATTCAGATGGTAGACCAGCTTGGCCTGGGCCGCGATCATGTTGGGGCAGAGATCCGGATTGTATACCGGAGTCTCGCAGTAAGCTGTGGGATCCAATGCGGCTGCTAGAGCTGGAGCCAACTTCGGTGGAGAAATGGGCCGCAGCGCTCAGAAACGTACCAAAAGTGTCTTTCCGACGTGCTGCAGCGGTGACTTCCCCGCTGCTGCCGCTTTCCCCTGGCTTTTATCTTTGAGCCCAGCCGGTCTTAAAGTGAAAGATTGTTCTCCCCCCTTTCTCTGTCTCTCTTCGCCTTTTAAAGAATCCTTGTGTGAGAGAAATGCATGGAGAGATCACCTTCTCAGTAATAAAAACAAAAGTTGCGCTGAGACCCAGCAACGCTCTTCCAGTAGTCAAAATAATCACCCCTTTCCGTATTTATTTACGCTTTCCCGTAATCATTGTGTGTGGAAGACTGTTAATCAGATGGAGGAAAAGTGGGCTGAGTGTGCGTCGGGGTGAGTGTGCGTGTGTATATGTCAGAAGAAGCTGCTGTTGGTTTGTCTAAGAGCCCAGATGCACTCGTGTGGAAATTATAAAGGCAGGGCCAGGCAGGCGGGCGGCCAATCGCCACTGGGCTCGTCACGACAGCCTCCTTCAGCTCCAACCCGGCTAATTAATCCCCCCTCATGGCTATAGGCACACAAACTAAAGGTAGGAGGCTGCTGCCGGCAGAAAACCACCCAGGCCACCTAGACAGTTTGGAAATCAAGAGGAATCTCTCAGCTTTGGTATTACTTGAAGCATATTGATGTTCTGAAAAGACTTGGCAAAGCAGCTTTCTTCTGTGCTGAAAACCCTGCTTGTCTTTTTAGGCTGAAATGCAAATACAGGTGTATTAATGGGCATCCATCAATTAGGGAACTAGATGGGGCTTTCTAAAAAAAGTCACTAACTTGCACTTAGAGTAAGATAATTAGTGTCGTTAATCCGGGGGGGTCTTTTTTAATGCACATTTGCTCTTTCACACACAGGGAAAGTTGACTTTAGAAGGAGTATTACTTGGGTGATTTTCTCTTTGTGTCACATTCCGGATATTCCTATGTTTGTATGATTTTTTTAAGCCTTAGGCAAGTAGTGTGCTCTTCTTTTTACCTGTTTTTTTTTTTTTTTCTCTCCTCATTTGCACTTGTTGAGAAGAATCTGCAAATTATTGCGGACTGGTAGATGTTATCTACCCCAGTGTGAGTTGGGATGTTTAAAAGATTTTATTTACTACACCTCCTAATCTGCAATCATCCATGCACCTCTGTAGACTTGCCTAGTGCTTCAATCAGGACACTATAGAAATGCTTTTTAAAAGAAATTATCTCTGGGACCAAGTGATTATTTTAGTGTAATTTCATAATAAGTTGTATTTTAATGAAGAAATTCAGGAGAGAGC